TGCAGCCCAAAATAATAACTCAAAAGCCTAACCTAACAGCCCACAAAAGAAACCAAATTGCTGTCCAAACACATTTTACCCAAAAATCAGCCAATAACTAACCAAAAAAGCCCAATTACAACCAAAATCGGCCTACAACCTAACAAAACCATCTTCCACTTCTAAAATCAAAGTCCAAGATAAAACCTAAATAAATAAATCAGCCCAATCTCCTTTTTTGGCCCAACACAATAGTTTAAGCCCAACAACACAACCCATATATATTAACCATACCTCCAGCAGTCACAGGCAGAGACCCCGCACAGAAGCATACAAACCATAGTACCATACAAAAACTATAATCAGAAAAAATCATCAACTGCACAAATGGACGACTACCAAGGTGATGGTGTTTACAAGGTGAATCCGACCAGAAATTTTTAAACCAAAAAGCATCAAGAAATTTAGACCACCGGATGAGCGACACAAGGCCACTAGTCGGAGAACGGAAGCTTGCAAATTTAACCCAAGATTAAACCCACTCTGATACCATATAGAAAACAAAAAACCAATATGATAAATCTATCAAAAGAGGAGAACAAACTAATGAAAAACTAATTTTATATATCTATCAAAGGAGATGAAAACACGGTTGTGAAGAATGGAGGAACCTCCAAACTTAGGGCAAAATACGTAGGATACAATGAGTTTATATACTACAATACCAAGGAAAAGGAAATGTAAAAGACTAAACTACCCTCAAACTAATAATTTATTACATTAACAATATGTACACACGTGAGGGCAGCAACTTAAGGGAAAATTAGGTGACAAAAATTGGGCTACCTGCTTCGGAGGAAAGGGACGACACCAAAGGCGGTTGCTGGGAGTTTATGCATATATTTACATATTGAAGAAAGGGCAGCCTGTTGATTTAATATAGATACAACGCATATAATTGGGTGGAAGACACATTGAAAAGGCTGCTTGCTGGGGAATTTGATTACACGCCAATTGGGGAAAAATGTATCCACCTAGACAAGCCACACACGCGAGCAAAAGTGGAGAAAATTCATGGAATTAATCATGTTTCGTCAAATTTTCGTGATGTCGTTTCTCTTTGTGTGTTTAATTCCAACGTTATGTTAGGGTAATTCTTCTCATGTATTGGATAAAGATGAAACCCTTTATTATTTATTTTTAATTCATGACAAATAGCTTAGTTAAATTCTTGCAATTTTTTATTAATCTTGTATGCTTAATTTTATTATTTGATTGCTTGATCATCAATTAAACATACAATTGCTTGTTGTAGTGCTGAGAGGCTCACAATAGGCTTAGAACGTTGCTTAATTAACATGCGTGCAATAAATTTTAGGAATAAGATTTATCACATGTGCAATTTGTGAGATAATTGTGAAATTGAATGCATTTTATTCATTCGAATTTGGATTAGGAATAGATTCCGGTCGTGAATAGGATAGATTTAATTTATCTTGGAAAAAAAAATTAATTACAATAGAATTATCGATTGTCAAGAATGCAAGAATGAAACTAGTTACGTAGTTGAGAATTGGAATAGGTGATAATAGGTGGATTCGTCATCCAATACTCTTCCCATACACATATTAAATTTGTATTTTACTCTGTTTCGTAGATTAAGTTAGATTGATTAAAAATCTCAAAACACTTTTATTTTGTTTACTTCGAATCTAATTAAATACTAGTGCACTCAATTAAATTTTATTTCTTGTGGGACGATACTCTCAATTTACTAAATTTATTACTTGTCAATGATTCCGTAAACTTGCGGGTTTCACAAAAACAAGTTTTTGACGCCGTTGCCGGGTAATAATTTATTTAATTTAAGTTTATTAGTTATTTTTAGATTTGAAGTTTTTTTTTTCCTTTTTCATTTTTCTCTTTACTTTATATGTTTTTGGTTATTCATTGAACGATTTAAATCTCTCGTTTTACTCTTTTTAGGAATTCACAGTTTATGCAAAATTCTGACGAGATCGAGCTTCTTCAGATAGATCCCAAAATCGAAGGAACTTTCACACAACGAAGAAGAGAGCAGAGACAAGCAAGAGATATGGTAGAAAATTATCATCAGAATTAGGCTCGGAACCCTTTGCCACTACCTCAGCCAATTCAACCAAGGGCAGTAGCAAATCAAGGAAAAGCTTTAATGCAGGATTATGTAAATCCCATGCCAGCCCGTGTACGACCGGCTATTATCTATCCTCCTTTTGGACAGGCCAACTTCCATATTAGACCTGATGTTGTCAACTTATTCTAGAATAATTAAGATATTAGGTTCTCTGGGAGAACAATCGAAAATCCCCATGAACTTATTCAGGCCTTCTTGATGCTCTGCGATATGATTAGCCATGAAAGAATGTTTGTGGATGCCTTTTGACTGCGCCTATTTCCTCACACATAAAAGGAGGGCGCGTGAGAATGGCTAAATTCTCTAATTCTTTAGAACATTATTCATGGAATGACATGGTACAGAAGTTCACGTTGAAATTTTTTCTGCCATCTCAGGTCCATCATATCAAAAATGAAATCCATACTTTTAAGCAAAAGGACCTTGAGAGCCATCTAGAAGCGTAAGAAAGGTTCAAAGATTATTTTAGGAAGTGCCCCACTTTGAAAATCCCTAAAGAATCAAAGATCTAAATATTCTATTCCGGCTTGAGACCTTAATTTCGCAACATCTCCGATGCTTCTGCGAGAGGGTCGATATTAGATATTCCATTGGATAATGCCTTGGACCTTTCTGAGTGAATTGCAGAAAATCAATCGATGTGGCTGAGCGACAGGGAAGTCCCGAGGAAAACAACTAGTATATATAAGATGGATGCAATGGCATCATTGACAGCACAAATAAAGGCAATAACTAGAAAGCTTGACAGTTTGACCCATTCTGTGAATATGGTACAAACTCCAGCTCCGAAGTGCGCAGGTTGTGGGGCAAACCACATTACTGCAAGCTATCCTTTGACTTTTTTTTTTTTAAAGCAAATACCACTAGTGTGGTTTATTTTATATAATGAAAAGAGGGAAAACAAATATAGGAGGGGGGCATAGACCTGACCTCCAGCAAATGTAAATTGTAACAAATATCTGAAGATGAAATGCAATCACAATAAACAAGACACGAACAAAATCTAATGAAATGTACTCAAGGGTATTCCCGAGGGTAAATTTTCGGGTGGTAGTACATAGACATCGATCGGGTCATGCGTCTGGTCTGAAACACTTCCGGATCATAGTAGTCTGCGATGTCTGGCTCGCTCGTTGGAGAGGGGTCTCGCCTGCGTGAAGGAGCCTGCTTTGGTGAAAAGTACTGTTCGGAGAGTGGTGCACTGAATGTCGGATGAAAAGCGGGTGCATCTGATCTCATGGTGCGAGTTACAGGTACGTCTGATCTTATGGTGCTATGTTCTGCAACATCTGTTGCATGGGAGAATGAGTCGCTGACTGTAGGTACGTTGTCCTCTTCATTTTACACGCAGTCTTCAAGGCCCATGCCATCCATGTCTCTCTGTATGTGTTCTGTCACCTTATTTTGTGTAGGAGCTGTGATAGAAGGACTAGGTGAAGGTATATGTGTAGGAGTCTTACTTAATGAAGGTCCCTCACCAAAGAGTTTGAAAACCAAGTCCTCAATGGCAAATCTCATGGTAGATCCAACTTTCAATCCATGGTCCTTTTTAAAGTGATCAATCAACATACGCTTGACACCGTGCCGCTCTGAGCTTATCTCAGCCAACAGTCCCTGTGCAAGAGTGGTATGAGGAACTGTCCTTGTACCTGATCCCTGTGTTGACTGAGAACCATCTGTGCGTGTCTTCAGATGTGAAGAACTGATCTGTGCCGGGTCAGGGGGTGCCTCAGTAGTAGCAGTGGGAATAGGAGCTGTGAAAGTAATAATAGGAGAAATGGGCACCTCGATAGGAGCATTCGGAGTAGGCTCAGCAACTGAATGAATAAATGGAGGTACCTCTGGATCAACTGTGATAGGGGTAGAAGTAGGAACTGCCGATATAGATTCTGACTCTGTCACAACTGCGGCAGTAGTAGTGGGAAGCACAGAAGGCACTACTGAAACTGGAACCCACTGCTTCATTGGTTCCACAAAGGTTATCTTGCCTTTACCCTTGTCAGTCCTAGTAATAGGGGGTTGAATAGTGGGAGGCACAACAACTGTAGGAGGAGGAGGAGGAGGTGTACCCGAAGTGCATTGATCATATGAATGGCCCAAGTGTTTACAAGAGAAGCAAAAAATTGGTCTCTTCTCATAAATAACTGTCTGCCAGAAGCCACGGTTACCAGCGCGTTCAATCCAAACCCTGTCGGGCAACTTATGCCCCAAATTCACCTCAATGCACACCCTTGCCTCACTAGGTCGTCTCAAGTCAGTGGTGGCCTCATCAATTCTCAAGGGCATTCCTATTGTCCTAGATAAGGCGAAAAGGAACCCTTTCACACGTAAATGTACTGGAAGCAGAGGGAATGATACCCATACGGGAACTAACAGAGTCTCTTGCTCAGGTGTAAAGTCACATGTCCACTTAAGGACTCTCATTGGACAACCATCAATATACCATGAAGGTTTAAGAAAAAGTCTGCTGTAATCCTCCTCATGTGTAAGGTGTATAAGAATATGTGTTGTGTCAATCAGTCCCACCTCGAAACAACCATGTAACCCAAACTTAGAAAAAATCTCACGTACCTTCTTCATGGTTGGCTTGCGATGTGGAAATTTCCCTTTGACTTCTACTCACATAGGTCAGCCAGTGTAGGGCAGTTATGCTCAGAACTATCAGAGGCAAAATGGACCTTACACACACAATTACCATCCGAGTTTGAACAAGCATACCAACTACGCATAGGTTAATAATTCGGATCAAGTAAATTAGATGAGGGGCAATCTACCAGCGATTCAACAATAAGAAGAAAAGAGGCAATCATTGGAGGATGTACTTGTCAAGTACATCAATAAAACTGAGATGGTGATACAAAATCAGCAAGCCTCTATACATAACTTAAAGAAACAGGTGGGACAAATAGCAGCTGCATTAGCCAACAGACCACAGGATACCTTATCAAGCGATACAGAAAAGAACCTAAAGGAGCATGTATTAGCAGTTGAAGCTCTGAATTATGCAATTATCGAGACACCATCAATCAAGCCTACTACACCTGTTCGTGCTTATGTGCTGCCTATCCCATTTCCTCAATGGCTTCAAAGATAACCTAAAAAGGAACAAGTCCAGGCTATCACACAAAGAAACAGAGTTCAGCTTCCAGAAATCACAGTGAAGAAGAAGATGACTGAGGAAAATCAAGTATCTACCTCGGTGGAAGAACAATTGGGTCGTCTGAAAAATCATCAAATGTTAATCAAGAAGAATGGTCAGACAATTCATAGGTCAAGGCAACCGTTCTTAGCAATAAACACACACCTTCAGTTACATCCCCTCAAAGATTGCAGAACAATAAAATCGACAAACAATTGAAGAATTTCTTGAACACTATCAGACAACTTCACATCAATATTCCTTTTATTGATACTAATCTACAAATTCCAAATTATGCTAATTTTTTGAAGAAGATGTTGACTAAGAAGAGAAAGCTACTAAAACATGAAACAATAGCACTATTTGAAGAGTACAGCACTATCATCCAACATAGGATCCTTCCAAACTTAAAGATCCATGAAGTTTCACTCTACCTTGCTTCATAGGAAAATTAAATAATATAAATTGTTTAATTGATTTAGAAGCGAGTATTAATTTAATTCCCTTACCTCTTTACAGGAAACTAGAATTAGGAGATCCTAAGGGGACATCTATTATCCTTCAGCTAGCGGACCGATCACTGAAACAGCCTTACGGAATAGTCGAAGACATGCATATCAAGGCAAGGGAGTTTATTTTTCCAGTTGACTTCATCATCCTCGACATTGAAGAAGCATATCAAATGCCAATAATTTTGAGAAGGCCATTCTTGTCTACAAGTCGAGCCTTACTAGATTTTGATGCTAATGAGATTGTCTTGCGAGTGGAGGATAAGCAGCAGAGCTTCACTATGAAAAATTCAATCAAGCAACCATTATACTTTGAGGATTGCCACTGAGTTGATCATTGAGAGAGTTACAAAAGCAGGCCAAATAAAAGTGGAATTGTTGGTAGGGGCAGCGATGAAAACTTAATTGTGTGGAGAATGAAAGATGAAAGAAGGAAGTGCAATCAGTGCATAAAATACAAAGCTGAAAATTCCCTCTTCAAGCCATCATGAATAGCCAAAACAATAAAGTCTAGTTAAAGACTATAATTTAAGTTCTTATTAAGAGGTAATCCAATTTCATTATCATTTATTTATTTTATTTTATGCATCGCATTGCATATAGACTTGTTTTGATTATTAGTTTGTATTAAATTTAGACACGTTTAAGTTTATAGGATATTATCATCCGATCATATTTTCACTGAGACCTTTAAATTTAATGTTGGTTACTTTGAGTGTTTGGGCTAAGTAACACATGTTCTAGATTATTTGATCTTAATGTTTGATTTAATTGCCATATGTAGGAACATCGTGGAACACTCAAACTAACATAGATCTAGGAAAAGTATTATGAGGAACATTGTTTGGCCATCAGAAAAATTTGGGGAGTACATTCATCATTTTCTTCTCTGTCTACTTACATTCTTAATTATGCTTTACGACATTGAGGACAATGTCAAGTTTAAATTTGAAGGTAGGAAAATTTTTGAGTTTTTGGTTTTTGTATTTTTTGTGCATTTGTTTTTGTGTATTTATTTGTTTATTTTTTATTGTATGCTTGTGTGAGTTAGACTATTTGCTGACAATAATAATTAAATTTGAGTTCGATATTGATTTATGAACTGTGGATAGAAGCATGCTAGATTGATTGGAACTTAAATTTGCAAAACTTGATATTATATGTGTACTAGGATTGAGTTTGACATTGTGATGAAATAAGCTGATTCATGCATGTGATAGATTGATTTAGCTGGACATAGATGTTTTACCTAAATCATACTAATTATTTATTCTTAGACCAAATTTCGCACAATTTGGGGGTAACCTTACTGTTGTAGGAAGATATAGATGTAAATGTGGATTCCTTGTGTGAAAAAGTTTGTGTGGATTGTTTTAGATTAACATGATAAAATTGGGTGAAAGTCTTAAATTGAAGGTCGTTTTGCTTAAATAAGTGTGTGATAAGGGATATTGCATTATCAGGGCATATATTTTGAAATTTAAAACTTCTCTTTAAAGTCTTTATGACTCGAGTAATTAAGCTTGTAAGGGTATCTTAAAACCTGGTGCCCTAAAATCATCTGAATTGAGAGTTATCGACCTAAAGCTCGTTATAGGGGTCATTTGATAAAGCAATCAGAGATGAAATTGCCTAAAAAAATTATTTTTTTCGAAACTTTTTTGACTCGGGTTATTAAGCCTGTAAAGGTATTTAAAAACCTGATGTCCTAAAAAAGTCATCTGACTTGGGAGTTATCGACCTAAGTCTCTACATGGGTCATCTAGAAAAAGCAAGTGCATGAAAAAAATAAAAGCACGAAAGGCCTTGTAAGTCTCAACACTTATTCGAGGAAATTTGACTTTCGATAAAGGATAATTAGCTTAGTTGAGTCTTGGAGGTCAAAGCAATCAAATAATTGGAGAATTCTTGTTCATTGACATGTTGACTTGCAACTAGTGACGTCCACCTAAATTGGAGAGGATGAGGATAGTAATGAAGAATTCAATCTTAAATCACATGTTGGAAAAAAAGTGAAAATGAATAAATTTGGGGGTGTGTGAATATTACGAGAGACGAAATGATATATTTGATCGTAGAGGGTCGAAAACTGGAACAACTTGTGAATTCATTAATGTCTACTAGTTCTTCACACATAGACGTCAATTTTGCATTGAAAAAGTGGATATTGATTTGGTATTGTGAATTTTAAGCAGATTGTATATTTAATACAGTGATCTCAAATTCGAGGTAAAAAACTAGACTATCTAACGAATATTTTTGCATGTTTGTGTGTTATTTGTTATTTAAGTCATAGTTTTGTTCGAGGACGAACAAATATTTAAGTTTGGGTGTATTTAATATGTGTAATTTGTGCACTTATTTAAGCCTTATTATTAAATTTTTGTGACGTCAATTTATTAATTTCTATTTAATTTGAGTTAATTTTATTTTGTTTTTAGTGATGGACTCATACGGAGAAAATGGAAAAGGATGAAGAACAAATTGGCGATTGGATGCAATATTGAAGATCAAATTCAACACTTAAAAAATTGAAGAGGATGTTGATTGCACAATGGAGGAACTCAAGGACTATATTGCATTAACTTAAAAGCTGGATGACTTGAAGAAAATAAGTTATTAATTGGGCCTTCAATTGAATCAAATCTTAATAGAATTCAAGAGGTTGGGAAGTTCAATTTTAATTGGACCTTTATACAATTGCGGCTGCCAACAAATTGGAAGGGAATTTGGAGTCAACATGGGGGCCACTTTGGAATTCTAATCATACAAAATAAAAACAAGGGTTGCTACTGCTTGACATTTACATACATACTACAAAGGACAACACTGTGTACAAAAAGCCTTCTAGAATACACACACATGTGCGGCCCAATTTTTTTGACAATATTTAATTTACATGAATCCTACATTTCATGTGAGTATCTGTATGACTTCTGTACAAATATTTTCTATATAAATGGTTTTTTCTTACTACAAAACGGGTATATCGGTAGAGAAAAAGATGAGAAAGCGGAGAGCTAACCTACAGAAAAGAGAAGAAATTGCCGGCTGCTTTGGGGAAAAAAACTGTCGACTTTAATTATATATACACGCGTGAGGGCAGCAGCTTAAGAGAAAATTAGGTGACAAAAATCGGGCTACATGCTTTGGAGCAAAGGTGCTGGGAGTTTATGCATTATATTTACATATTGAAGAAAGGGCAGCTTGCTGATTTTATATAGATACAACACATAATTGGGTGGAAGACACATTGAAAAGGGTGCTTGCCAGGGAATTTAATTACACGCCAATTGAGGAAAAATGTATCTACCTAGACAAGCCACACATGCGAGCAAAAGTGGAGAAAATTCATGGAATTAATCATGTTTCGTCAAATTTTAGCAATGTCGTTCCTCTTTTTGTGTGTTTAATTCTAATATTATGTTAGACTAATCCTTTCATGTATTGGATGAAAATGAAACCCTTTATTATTTATTTTTAATTCAAGACAAATAGCTTAGTTAAATTCTTGCAATTTTTGATTAATCTTGCATGCTTAATTTTATTATTTGATTGCTTGATCACCAATTAAGTATACATTTGCTTATTGTAGTGCTAAGAGGCTCACAATAGGTTTAGAACATTGCTTAATTAACATGCGTGCAATATATTTTAGGAATAAGATTTATCACGTATGCAATCTACGAGGTAATTGTGAAATCGAATGCATTTTGTTCATTCGAATTCGAACTAGAAATAGATTCGGGTCTTGAATAAGATAGATTTTATTTGTCTTAGAAAAGAAAATTAATTACACTAGAATTATCGATTGTCAAGAACAAAACTAGCTACGTAGTTGAGAATTGGAATAGGTAATAATAGGTGAATTCGTAATCCAATACTCTTCCCATACACGTATTAAATTCGCATTTTACGCTCTTTCATAGATTGAGTTAGATTGATTAAAAACCCCAAAACACTTTTATTTTGTTTACTTCGAATCTAATTAAGTACTAGTGCGTTCGATTAAATTTTATTACTTGCGAAACGATACTTTTAACTCACTAAATTTATTACTTGTCAACGATTCTGTACACTTGCGGGTTTCACACGAACACCCAGAATCGAAATGAATAGTCTAAAAAGAGAAAATGGAAAAGGAAACCTTATCTTTTTTTATTTACACAAACATGATGTTGTCTGAAAATTCAACTCATTTCCACTTGGTTCAGGAAAATCGGTTCAATCCAAAATGGCCAAGCCAACGGCTTGTGAACAGTAACTCAAATCTACAACTTTTACTTTTAGTTAGATTAGGTGATATTTTATTTTTATTTTTTTTGATATCCAGGTATCACAACTTACACCAGACTAAATCCTGGATCTCCAAGATCCATGCTCCTAGAACATTGGAGGGGGTAAATCGTGGGATATACCTCAACTTGGCAAAGAATTATTTGATTGTATTGTAAGCCCCCGCTTGGCAAAGAAAATGGGGGGAATAATATTTTTTTTAAAAATGAGTGACTGAAAAAGAATTAAAAATTTTCGATTTACGTGTAATATTATTTTATGGAAGATTATGTAGTTGAAAATAAGAGAGAGAGAGAAATGGAATGTAATATAATTTAATTTAATGGGGTCAAACGGGGGCTAAGTCTGATCCAGATTGTTAATTTGTTACCTTGCTAATTAAGTATTTGAACATAAATTTGAATACTAAGCCTACTCTTCCAACTAGGGGTAGGCGTGAGTTGAGTCGATCTTTTATCCAATTCAAATCCAACCTAATCAAATTAACCCAACCCAAACCGATCATTTTGGATCGATTTGGGTTGGGTTAGTTGGTTTGAATGTTGACCCAATTAAATTTGATTCCATTTTTTAATTTTTAATTTGGACAATTTTTTAAAGTTTTAAATTGCTTGGAAACCTTCATCATTTTTAACACCTATATAGGAATTTCTTTCTAAAAAATAATGTAAAAAAAGTTTTAAATTATAAAGTATTTTCTTTTTTACAATTTTTTTTAGATTCATTTATTTCATCATCGCGTCATTAATATTTAGTTTATTATCAAATAACTTTACTTTTGTGCATATTGTTCATGTCAATCAATCTATGTAAAAAAATGGTCATTTATAAATTATAAGTCCTCTTATCTTTACTATTCTGTATATTTAGATTTTTTTTTTTTCATTTTACATATTCATTTTTTAAATTCATCGGGTTGGGTTAGGTGGGGTTGGCTTTTAATTCATAACCCTTAACCCAACTCAACTCATCCATAAATTCAACTTTTCAACATAATCTAATTGAACTTTAAAATCAGCACAAATCGTTCAAT